GGTTCAAGAGATCCTCCTGCCTCGGTTTCCCAAAGTGCTGGGATTACAGGCACAAGTCACCTTGCCCAGCCTCAGTCCAATGTTTTCTAATTTGCAGTAGAATCAGTTGTTTCTACGCCACAGTCATGGGGTCAGGGGTAATATGAATAAATTACAATCACTAAATAATGAGGGAGGACTCATTTTAACCCCAAATTCCTATTCTCTTCCTAATGTTTCAGGAGAACCATTACAAAAAATAGCATTAAATAGGTAAAGTTTTACTCTCCTCTCTCCCCATTCCTATCTGCTGGAAATCTTCACCAAAAGGGAAAACTACCTTCATCATTAGTCTCCAAGCACTCACATCCTAAATAGACAAGAGTGGGCTACCAAGAAACAACTCCTTCATATTCCTTTTTAGCATAATGTTTTCTTAAAAAAACAAACAAAGAGACCAATCAGCACCCACTACTAGGGATCTTTGCACAGCAGTATAAGGTATTGTTTAGAGCACTGAGCAGGCTGTCCCAGCAAGTAAAAGGACCTTGACTATGGCTTGCTATGTTCTAGGAAAATATAGTCACTTATACATGGATTGCTTGCAGAGGGAATGACGGAGGCATGCGGGTTTCCTGTTGAGGTGAGCTGTAGTGATCTATGATGTCCAATTCCTTGTTCACTGTTTTCGGTCACAGGCTACTCTTTTCCTGGTAGCTATTTTTAAAAAGTTGACCACAGGCTGTGCGCAGTGGCTCATGCCTATAATCCCAGAACTCTGGGAGGCCCAGGTGAGAGGATTGCCGGAGTCCACAGGTTTGAGAATAGCCTGTGCAACTTGGCGAGACCTCAGCTCTACAATAAATAAACAAATTAGCCAGGCATGGTGGCATGTGCCAATAGTTCCAGCTACTGGGAAGGCGGAGGCGGAAGGATCACCTGAGTCCAGCAGGTCAAGGCTGCAGTGTCCATGAGCGTGCCACTGCACTCCAGCCTGGGCGATAGAGCGAGACTTCAACTCAAGAAAAAAATTAAAAATTTAAAAATAAAAATTGACCACTCAACCTCCACCTCACGTCTATTAGGGAAAAACAAAAACAATAACAACAACAAAAAACCACCCATGGCTGGTGCAGCGGCTCACACACTTTGGAAGGCAGAGGCAAGAGGATTGCCTGAGCCTGTGGGTTTGAGGCCAACCTGGGCAGCATGGCGAGACCTTGTCAATATAATAAATAAAATAAAATAGCCGGGTGTGGTGGTGCGTGCCTGTAGTTCCAGGTACTTGGAAGGCTGAAGTGGAAGGATCACCTGAGCCCAGCAGGTCAAGGCTGTGGTGGCCGTGAGCATGCCATTGCACTCCAGCCTGGGCGACAGAGTAAGACTCCGACACAACCCTCCCCCAAAAAACCAAACAAAAACACCCAGAAATAACAAGTCTTGGCAAGGATGTGGAGAAATTGGAACACTCGAGCACTACAGGTAAAAATTTTAAATGATGCAGCTGTTCTAGAAAACAGTATAGTAGATCCTCCAGAAATTAAAAATAAAATCACCATGTGATTCGCCAATTCCACTTCTGGATATATATCCCAAAGAACTGAAAGCAGGATCTCAAAGAGATAATCCACACTTACATACATAGCAGTATTATTCATAATAGCAAAAAACGTGGAAGGAACCCAAGTGTCCATAGGACAAATGAATGGACAAACAAAACATGGTATATACATAAAATGGAGTATTTGTTCATCTTTAAAAAGGAAGAAAATCCTGACACTTGCTATAATATGGATGAACCTTGAAGACATTATGTTAAATGAAATAAGCCAGTCACAAAAAGACAAATATTATATGATCCCACTTATATTAAGTCCCAAGTAGTCAAATCTATAAAGACAGAAAATAGAATGGTTATCTCCAGGGACTGGAGGGAGGAGAAATGGAAAATTATTATGTAATGCATACAGAGTTTCAGTTTTGCAAGATGAAGAGAGTTCAGGAGATGGATGGTAGTGACGGTTGCACAACAATGTGAATGTACTTAGTGTCCCCAAACTGTACGTTTAAAAATAGCTAAGATGGTAAACTTTATGTTATGTGTATTTTACCACAATTTCAAAAAAAAAAAGTTAAAAAAATTTTACCACCCATCCAGAGAGGACCTAGGATTGAGTAGAAGTATCAAAGTAGTATAGGGTCCCCAGTATCAAAGGGTCCCCAGATATGGAACAGAACACCTTTCCTTGCTCACGACAAATATTAATCAATCATTCCAACATTCCTCCTAAGTCCAGAAGCAACATCATAACTTTTCTCAACACAGGCCACCACCAAACAATTGGAGTTGCTGTAGGAGAAAATTGTGATGGCCTGTGGAATCTATGCCAGAGAAAAGAAAGGTACAATGATATACAAATTCACAAGATAGGAAAAAATCAACATGAATTTAATATTTTAAGAAAAAAATGTATTTTTCATCCCTGTCTCAAAAAAGTTCCAATCCTCTGAAATAGAAGCAACATCTTTGGCCACAATTACCATTCATTTGAACCCATATAGCACAGGTTCAGGTCTCTAATTTTCTTTTCTTTTTTTTTTTTTTTTTTTAGTTAGAGTCTCACTCTGTTGCCCAGGTTGGAGTACAGTGGCACACTCATGGCCACCCCAGTGTCGACCTGCTGGGTTCCAACGATGCTTCCACTTCAGCCTTCCAAATAGCCAGAACTACAGGCTTGTGCTACAAGGACCAGCTAATTTTTTGATGTATTGTAGAGAGGAGGTCTCACCAAGTTGCCCAGGCTGGTCTCAAACCCGCGGGCTCAGGTAATCCACTCACCTCAGTTTCCCAAAGTGCTGGGATTATAGGCTGAGCTCCCCAGCCCAGCCTCTAATTATATTTTCTACAAAAAGGAACCAGAGTTCCTGGAAAGGGAGTTGATTTCAAGTTTTAAGAAAGACAAACTCAGAGTGAGTCTAGAATATCTTGTTGCTGCCAGAAAGAAAGATTGATGTGCTGAAAGGACTTAAGAGAAACTCAGGGACTCCCACTCCCCAAGCTATGCTGATTGAAGCATAAAATCATCACACAAATGGAAAAAGTCAACCTAAACTGTTAACAAAGGGAATAGTTATATAAAAGGGAAGTGCTTTGTGATTTTATGGCTACTATTGAGTTTCAAGTTAATAAGTACATAGCTTGTTAACTTGGTTTCCTTTCTATACTGTTAAGCCTGGGACTAAGTATAAATATAAACCTGTTTCTGTTTCTGTGAGCAGGAGATATTGGGTGAGGAATCTTTTTTCTTTTTTTGTCTCATTCTGTAACCCAGGCTGCAGTGCAGACACACATGGACACTGCAGCCTCAGCCTGCTGGGTTCAGGTGATCCTTCCATCTCAGCTTCCAAGTATCGGGAACCACAGGTGTGCGCCACCATGCCCAGCTAATTTTTTGTATTACTGTACAGACAAGGTCTTGCCAAGTTGCCCAGACTGGTCTCAAATTCCTGGACTCAGACAATCCTCTTGCCTCTGCCTCCCAAAGTGCTGGGATTCCAGGCGTGAGCTACAGCACCAGGCCTGGTGGGGAACCTTTAAGTAGGTCAACAAGTCCCTTCAAAGTTAAGAGCTATACTGTGAACAGGATTGTCTTTTTGTGATCTCATATGGTATCAGAACAAGGAATAAGCAAAGTCCATCTATTCATTGCCACTGATGGTTATGCGAGTACATAGGGCCCAGTGGTATGTTTTCAGATGATAAATAAGCTGAGTACCAACTCCTCTCCCCCAGGATAGTACTGACCCGCTCCCTTAGCTTCTAGAAAATAAACTATTTTGATGAGATTATTAGTAAGGCGCTAATAAGACATAAGTAAGGTTCCATTCACACCAACATGGTCAATATATCACAACAACAGAAAAAGAAGGTAGAGTCAAGCCATCTGTTCATAACTTCAGGTAAAGACACTGAGTTTCAGAAAACGAATATCTATCTGAGACATAGGGATAAAAAACTTCAATTATGTAACTAGCACAATTTTGCAATAAAAGGGTCTTGAACTACTGAACTATAAAATCAGATTTCACATTCTGACCTGAAATCAAAGGGCTAACAATTTAGAACTTACAACCACATTCAGTCTGTTTCTTAGAGGTCTGGTAAAGTTTCTAAAATCCTAGGAAGACGTAAATTCTATATTGCATACATACATAGAGGTTGTTTAAGGAAATTTGATATATTGAATTTGTGATTTTTTTTCAAGCCCTTAAATGTGTTTGTCAAGTTTCAACCACCAGTTAAATAATTAATAAAATTTGCTTTAATTCTATAAATTTTGTTGACCTTGCTGAATAATATGTGACTATTAGTATTAGATAATTTAAGAAATATTGCTCAATAAATTCATAAGATCATAAATTATACACTAAGTAATGCACAAATGGTCTTAGACTTTCCCCCCCAAGCATAAAAGTTCATTGGACACTAAAGACCATCAAAAGAGGAAACCAATTTGCCACCTCAGGAAACTCAAGGTCATGAAAACAGATTGCTGGCCAGGCTGGATAGCTCAACCTGTAATCCCAGCACTTTGGGAGGCAGAGGTGAAAGGATTGCCTGAGCCAGTGGGTTCGAGACCAGCACGGGCAACTTGGTGAGACCTCATCTCTACAATAAATCGAAAAATTAGCCAGGAATGGTAGTGTGCACCTGTAGTTCCAGCTACTTGGAAGGTTGAAGCAGGAGGATCGCCCTAGTCCCACAGGTCAATGCTGGGGTGGCTGTGAACATGCTACTGCACTCCAGCCTGGGCGACAGAGTGAGACTCCAACTCAAAAACAAAACAAAACAAAAAAATATTGCTATTCAAATAATGGTTCCACATGCCAAATCTTTTCTATGCAGATCTTGTTAATTTCTCAGATTTGATGAGGCTTGCTCTTTGGATCACCCTACCTTGTGTGGCGAAGGCTTTTGCTTCCCCAATTTCACTGCTAACCTAGAGCTGTCAATTCCATACCTTTTGGTTCAACTGTCTTTCCTCCTGGGAAAGAGTTGTCATCTTTTGTGGAATCCTTGAAGGTTCCATATTCTTTTTCCATCTTAGCAGCTTCTTCCTTGGTACTATCTGTTTCTTCATGACTCTTTTCTGATGGCACTGTAATCAGATTGTGAATTGTTGTGTTATAACCCTATTTCCTATCTCTTAATTCATTCTAAATGTAGAAATAAACCTTATTGAAAAGGTACAGGCCGGGTTCGGTGGCTCAGCCTGTAATCCCAGCACTTTGAGAGGCTGAGGCGAGTGAATAGCCTGCGCCCGACTGTTTGAGACCAGCCCCGGCAACTTGGGGAGACCTCATCTCTACAATAAAATAAAAAATAGCTGGGCGTGGTAGGGTGCGTCTGTAGTTCTGGGCTACTTGGAAGGCTGAGGCAGAAGGATTGCTGAAGCCCAGAAAGTCGATGCGTGCATGCCACTGCACTCCAGCCTGGGTGAAGGAGTGAGACTCCAACTCAAAAAAAGAAAAAAATAAAAAGGTACAGATTTAAAGTCCTTAAAATGGCAAAAAAAAAAAAAAAGAAAAGAAAAGGTACAATTTTAGGTCAAATGCTTTTTTGAGCTGAAAGAGATCTTTATTTTTATTTTTTATTTTTTGAGTTGGCGTCTCATTCTGTTGACCAGGCTGGAGTGCAGTGGCACACTCATGGCCACTGCAGCCTCGACCTATTGGCCTCAGGTGATCCTTCCACCTCAGCCTTCCAAGTAGCTGGAACTACAGGTATGCGCCACCAAGCCCAGCTAATTTTCGATTTATTGTAGAGATGAGGTCTCGCCAAGATGCCCAGGCTGCTCTCAAACCTGTGAGAGCAATCCTCTCACCTCAGCCTCCCAAAGTGCTGGGATTATAGGCATGAGCCACTGTGCCCTGGCTGAAAGAGATCTTCATGATTATGTAGTCCCACCTTCTACCTCCCTTCACAGAAGAGGAAACTGAGGCCTAGACAGGGGAGAAATAGGTGTAAGGTCATCCACTGAGTTAACAGAAGAGCTGGCCTAGCCCCCAGCTTTTGGGAATCTGATTTAACATTTCTTTCCTTTTGTCACACTGTCGTTACAGGGTAGATTATTTGTCTTACTTTAATCAGCGTAAGCAATCAAGTGGGATATGTCCAATCTCTAAGTAAATTTGGCGGGACTTAATTCCAAATGAAAATAACTGTGGGCCAGGCTCAGTGGCTCAGCCTGAATCCCAGCACTTTGGGAGGCTGAGGCGAGTGGATTGCCAGAGACCTTGGGTTCGAGACCAGCCCTGGCTTGGTGAGACCTCGTCTCTACAATTAATCAAGAAATTAACCAGTAGTTCCGGCTACTTGGAAGGCTGAGGCGGAAGGATCGCCGGAGCCCGGCAGTCGATGCTGGGGTGGCAATGCGCGTGCCACTGCACTCCAGCCTGGGAAACGGAGTGACTCTGGCCCCCCCCAAAAAAAAGGAAAGAAAAGGACTCTGTGGTTGTCCAATCACTCTTTGATGTTGCATGTTTAAACAGTATTACCCAGAGTAGCAACTAAGGACTTGGGGCTGTGGCAGGACTTCCCTCCCTCTGTCCACTTCTTCATACTCCCTTGCCCCTGGTAACCCTAAATGGTTTTTACAAGTTTGCTCTTGTAATCTTGAAAAGGACTAACTCTTGCTCTCTTCTCACTTAAAAATAACTATATTTCCTTCTAGCAACACTATGTTGAATTAAAAATCATAAATCTTGAAGTAGGTAAACACTTGAAAGCAATTGTAATGAATCCCTGCAGTCAAGGAAATATTTGGAACCTCAAGCAGTGTAACAGTAAACCTTTTTTTCTTTTTTGAGTTGGAGTCTCACTCTGTTGCCCAGGCTGGAGTACAGTGACACATCCATGGCCATGCAGCCTTGACCTGCAGGGCTCAGACAATCCTTCCACCTCAGCCTTCCAAGTAGCTGGAACTACAGGCACTTGCTACCATGCCGGGCTAATTTTTTGATTTATTGCAGAAATGAGGTCTTGCCAAGTTGCCCAGGCTGGTCTTGAACCTGTGGGCTCAGGCAATCCTTTCACCTCTGCCTCCCAAAGTTCTGGGAACCTAGGCATGAGCCACCATGCCTGGCCTAACTTTTAAAAATACAATGCCTTTTTATTATAGGAAAAATAGGAAAAGAAGAAAGGAATCAGTTATTGTCTCATGTAAAACACCCACTAGTGTACTGTGGTATATACAGAGATGCATACTTTTTCTTCATAGTTGTTGGACAATTTTTTTGTCCTTGCCTTGTGTCATTAACATCATTATGGAAGGAGGTTTACGGGTTATTAAAAACTGCTTGAAAACATATTTTGAAGGGCTATATATTATGCCATCAAGAATATGTATATCATTTTTGTGATAGGGACAAAAAATAAATTTTAAGAATTTGCGATCTTTTTGCTCCACCTTCCTCCTGAAAAGAGGCTTCTTTGCACAGCTCAGTTCCATGGTGTTTGAGGTGCTGAGCAGGGTGATGGGCTGAGATTTAGACCAGAGGAAACCAAGAGAGAAGTGAGTAAATCATACTACGTGGGCACAGACCATCCCAGAGAAGAGAAAAGACCTCAGAAGGGAGAGAGAAGGTAGACAGCAAGGAACGAGACAGATGTCCAGGAACAGTAGTCTGGAGAAGTGGTGATCTAGGAGAAAAGAAGATACCTAAAGGAAAATTTTAGGAGGAATCGCTCAGTTTGGGGATATAGCCTTTACCTTCCCACCTAAGATCCTTAGCCACCTTCTAAGAATCTTCAGTAAAGACCTACATTACTTTTCAATGTTTTTGTGGGGGGTGTCAGATTTCTGTTCTGTGACATGCCACAAAATAGCCAAGGTTCCATCTATTTAATACTATGACTGGATTTCAGATTTTAAAACGTTCTGAAATCTGTAATTTACAATTAATGTTTATTGAAACGTATTATTTACCACTCAAAAGGGTCATTCTTCTAAAAGCTAAAAAAAAAAGTGAAATAAATCATACCTGGGGAAAGCTTGCTTTTATTGTCAGTAGCATTTTTTTCTAGCTTGTTTTTGGTCTGAAGAGCAATCATTTCATCCAAGTTTTCTGGAGGGAGAGGGAAAGAAAGACAATTTTATTCCCTGAGAGATGATATCAAAACTTTACTAAAAATATTTAAATCTCACCAGAAATATCACAATAGCAATTCCAAAATATTGACACTACTGGTAAGATGTTTATTTATTTTTGAGTTGGAGTCTCACTCTGTTGCCTAGGCTGGAGTGCAGTGGCACACTCATGGCCACCACAGCCTCGACCTGCTTGTCTCAGGTGATCCTTCTGCCTCAGCCTTACAAGTAGCTGGAACTACATGTACGCACTACCACACCTGGCTGATTTTTTATTTATTGTAGAGATGCGGTCTCGTCTTGTTGCTCGGGCTGGTCTCAAACCCCTGAGCTCCGGTAATCCTCTTGTCTTGGCCTCCCAAAGTGCTGGAATTACAGGCTTGAGCCACCGTGCCCAGCCCACTAGTAAGATGTTTTGACCTGGATTTTATTTCTAGGAATCATAGAGACTCAGATGGAAAGTCATATAATTTTGAGATCCTCAAGTTCAGCCTTCTCCTTAGCTGATTAGATATCTCTCTACATCTCTGTGGCCACTGCTAGGACACTTCCAGGGTTGGGACTTGTAGTGGACACCCGTGATTTTAACCTATTCAACACCTTGTAGAAACTGCACCTTGATTTTCCTTTGGGGTACCCAGCCCTCTCTCACTCTCAGAACATTCAACTTCGGGGGTGGTAGAACCCTAGCCTGTCTAATCAGGGTCTTCCATGACCACAGGCTATATATAGTTCGAGGAGGAGCACATGACTCGATCCAGGTCAATGAGACTCAATACTAGGACCACTAGTAGAAAGAGGTTCTTTCCACTGGGATTGACGGACTATGAGGACAGGAGATTGGGGCTGTCTCAGTTATCTTGTTCCCATAGAGAGCAGCCTGTTTGAAATGAATCAACACACAGAAAGAGCTGTGAGATGGGAAGAGATCAATTTCTAACACTATTGGTGGTATTTACAAAGACTCAAGTCAGACTACACTACTTCCCTGCAACTCCCGTGGATTTTTCAGTTACATGAGGCAATAAATTCCCTTTTGACTTAAGCCAAACAGTTCGATCTCTGTCATTCAGGGCCCTAGCTAATTCATGAGGCAGCCAGTTGTATTGTTAGGTAGCTTTAAGGGTGAGACTTCCCCTGTTCATATTGAGCTACAATATGTATCCTTGTCTTTGTCTCAATTCTACTCTTTGGAGTAGGTAACACGTAAAACTTCCTCAAGGTAGACAATTAGTTAGAAGCCACACTCTTCGTACTTAGTTAGTCAACCAGCCACATATGTCTCACTGCACTGTTAGGACAGGCCTCTTTGCCACTTCAGACAAGCATTTCTTTGCAATTAGTCTAAATATTTCATTATTACTTTGTATAATTTTTTCTCCATGTAAACTCCGTTAACCCCACCCCTACCCTGAGAAAAAAATTAGTATATTCTAATGTATAATACATTGCTTTCTTCTTTGAAATAGTGACCACAGCTGGCAACCTTTGTAATAACCAGACACTGTTGAGACCAGAACAGAAAGGCAGATTTGCTTGTCACTGGCTCACATGAGAAGAGAGGAGGCTGGTCAGTTCTCTTCTACCCATGCAGCCCTGAGGCCCCTGGGGTCTGAGGGTGGGTCACCATGGCAGGAGAAGCCAAAAGTCAATGTGCTTACACAGAAACATTCTTAAAAACATAATTCATATTTTGATCATAAAAGTTATATATATATGTTATATATGAGTAAAAGTTACATATAAAAGCTATATATGTACATCTAGTAGCTATCATATTGAACACCACAGAAGTGAATGTGCCCATCATGGCAGAAAGTTCTATTGGAGAACATTGCCTTATAGGAACAAAACAATGGAAATAGGCAAGATATATGTAATATATAGTTATATAATAAAAGATATATATACAGTGGAGAAAATTAAGAAAAATAGAATACAATTTTTAAAAATCATACTATGTATAAAGATGTTTTGGCATATTTCCTTCCAATTTTCATAGATAGATATAGATATCTCCATCTTTAACACTAAGATTGAGGTTATATTCTAAATGTCTTTAAGTATTCAACATTTTATCATGAACATTTCTCCCTGTCACTAAAAAGTCTTTGTTTTTGTTTGTTTGTTTGTTTTTGAGTTGGAGTCTCACTCTGTCGCTCAGACTGGAGGGCAGTGGTCACTTCCAGCCACCGCAGCCTCAACCTGCTGGGCTCCGGCGATCCTTCCGCCTCAGCCTTCCAAGTAGCTGGAACTACAGGCACACACTACCACGTCCAGCTAATTTTTTTGATTTATTGTAGAGATGAGGTCTCGCCAAGTTGCCCAGGCGGGTCTCGAACCCGCGGGATCAGGCAATCCACTCACCTTGACCTCCCAAAGCGTGGGATTACAGGCTGAGCCACCAAGCCCGGCACTAAACAGTCTTTATAAACAATATATATATTGTATATATAAGAAACATATACAATTATTTTAAAAACACAGACACAAAATAAAATTTAAATAGTCTATCATTAGAATATATAAATAGTTTATTTTAAATATTCTCCTTTTGTGAAGTATCTTTCTATTTCCATTGTTTTGTTCCTATAAAGCAATGTTCTCCAATAGAACTTTCTGCCATGATGGGCACATTCATTTCTGTGGTGTTCAATATGATAGTTACTAGATGCATGTGACAACTGAGTACTAGAAATGCGCCTATTGCAACTGAGAAGCTAGATTTTATTTTATTTTATTTTGTTTTGTTTTGTTTTATTTTAGCTGGTATCTCACTCGGTCATCGCAGCCTCGACCTGCTGGGCTCCGGCGATCCTTCTGCTTCAGCCTCCAAGGAGCTGCAACTACAGGAGTGCGCTACCATGCCCCGCTAATTTTTTTTTTATTTATTGTAGAGATGAGGTCTCACCAAGTTGCCCAGGCGGGTCTCAAACCAATGGGCTCAGGCAATCCATTCACCTCAGCCTCCCAAGGCGTGGGATTACAGACTGAGCCACCGAACCCAGCTAGAAAAGCTAGATTTTAAATGTTATTTAATTTAAGTTACTTTTGATTTAATATTAATATTAAATTTAATATTTAATATTAATATTAATATTTAAAATTTAATAATAAATTTAAAATTTAATATTAATATTTAAAATTGTGATTAGTAGCTACCATATTGGACACCACAGCTATAAGTAGCAGAGGGAGTATCTATCTGCCCTGTGGAATCTCTGATTTATGACTAAGTGTGAAATTTCTGAGTAACAGGGTGTTGATATGAAACAATTATTGATCTGAAACAATGTATTTAATCTACTGTTAAAGGAATAAAGTAGATCACAAAGCACTGTGTATAGTAGGAGCCCATTTTAGAAAGAAATGACATAAGTACACACACACAGAAAATCATCTGAAGGGTATTGATATTGTGAGGGATTTTCCCTTCCTTTTTCGCTTTTTTTTTTTTTTGCATTGAATAACTTTTTTTTTTTGAGTTGGAGTCTCACTTGTCGCCCAGACTGGAGTGCAGTGGCACGCTCCTGACCACCGCAGCCTCGACCTGCTGGGCTCCGGCGATCCTTTCGCCTCAGCCTTCCAAGTAGCTGGAACTACAGGCACGCGCTACCATGCCTGGCTAATTTTTGGTTTATTGTAGAGATGAGGTCTCACCAAGTTGCCCGGGCAGGTCTTGAACCCGCGGGATCAGGTAGTTCACTCACTTCGGCCTCCCAAAGCATGGGATTACAGGCTGAGCCACTGAACCCGGTGCGTTGAATAACTTTTTACAATAAATAGGCTCTTTTATAATCAGAAAAAAAAACCCTGTAAAACTATTTTCATGTAGAAAAACACAGGGGCTTGTAAAGAGTAATTCTGGATAGACCTATATGACGAGATTTCCTCTTCAATTATCCCTCTCCCACCAGAGTATGGGACTGTGAGGTTTTATTGCCCAAAATATATTTTTTTCTTCAAACAAACAAAAAATGAGCACTTGCAAAGTGCCTGGTACAGTCTGAGAAACTAGATTTTTAAGATTTATTTAATTAGAATTAATTTTAAAAACGTTCAAAATCAAAGAGTGTCCAAGTTTGTTTATAAAGTTCAAGGAATGAGGTGGGCAAACTTTTTTGTAAAGGCCTAGATTTTAAATATTTTTGGCTTTATAGGCCATATGCAGTTTCTATTACAGTTTCTGTTACTTAAATCTGCTTGTAGCATGAAGCAGCTACAGACAGACAATAGGAAACCAAATGAGCATAGGTGTGTCCCAATAAAACTTTGATTATGGACACTGAAATTTGAACTTTTCTTTTTTTTTTAGTTGGAATCTCACTCTGTCACCCAGGTTGGAGTGCAGTGACACACTCATGGCCATAGCAGCTTTGATCTGCTAGGCTCTGGCGATCCTTCCTCCTAAGCCTTCCAAGGGTCCAGAACTACAGGCATGTCCTACGACACCCAGCTAATTTTTCTATTTATTGTAGAGACAAGGTCTCACCATGTTGTCCAGGCTGGTCTCGAACCCATGGGCTCAGGCAATCCACTCGTCTCAGCCTCCCAAAGTGCTGGGATTATGGGCTTGAGCCACTGCGTCGGCCAGAAATTTGAATTTTGAGTTATAAAACCCTATTCTTATTTTTCCCCCCAATAACTTAAACATCTAGAAGCCATTGTAAGCTTGTGTGCTATGCAAAAAGGGTGATGAACCAGACTTGATTTATGGGCAGAAGTTTCCTAGCTCTGTTACAGAGAACAAAGTTCTCTATTTTATAAATGCAGAAACTGAGGCCCAGCAAGGTGGAGTGCTTTCCCCAACATGGCAGAGTTGGCTCATGGCACAGCTGGGACCAGGAGTCAGGATGCCTGATGCCCAGACCAGGGCTCGTTCCTTCTTGCTACACACAGAACTCATAAAGGAAAATCAAGGTTAGTTCCGACCTCCCAAACACAACTGAAAACATTTAATGAGTCCAATTTTAAACATTGTCTCCATAGAGAGTATTAGAAAATGCAAATAAGACAAAATATATTAAATGTGTGTGCTCAAGCTAGATTTATAAACACAAAAAGTTGAAAACTGGTTAATTTTATTTGTATGCATTATCAAACGGGGCAATTTTCGTTACCCAGATGATTTGGACCGTTTGGGCATCAATTACCAAATTAGTGAGGTAATTATTACCAAGTCCCTAATTTACTTTGAACAATGAAAACTACCACAGTAAATGGTATTTGTTGATTAACTAAACCAAGGAGGAAAACAAAAGCCTTCTCACCAAGGTAGGAAACTCCTTCTTCTGGAGAGATTGTTCCATACTTTACCATCATCTTCACAAAGTCAATCAATGTTTTCATGATAGTAATCAGTGTTTCTTTCTCTTTTGCTTCTTTTTCTGTGTAAAAGGACAAAATAATTTAAAGAAAACTAGTGGAGTATAGCTTCATCATTCAATGTCAATTTAAGAAACACAATCTTTTTCTTTTTCTTTTTGAGTGGAGTCTCATTCCTTCGCCCAGGCTGGAGTGCAGTGGCACACATGCTCACGGCCATCCCAGCGTTGACCCACTGGGCTCCAGCCATCCTTCTACCTCAGCCTTCCAAGTAGCAGGAACTACAGGCACAGATAATTTTTTATTTTATTGTAGAGACGCGGTCTCGCCAAGTTGTCCGGGCTGATCTCAAACCCATAGGTTCAGGCAATCCACTCACCTTGGCCTCCCAAAGTGCTGGGATTACTGGCTGAGCCACCGAGCCGACCTTTTTTTCTTTTTTAAAGATAGGGTCTCACTATGTGGCCCAGGCTAGAGTGCAGTGGCAATTAACAGGCACAGTCATCACACACTACAGCTTTGAATTCCTGGGCTCAAGGGATCCTCCTACCTCAGTCTCCTGAGTAGTTGGGACTACAGGTATGCACCACTGCACCCAGTCTAAGTACAACATCTTATTGAAATTCTCCCTACATTTATAGCTAAAACTATATTTAACTTACAAAAAAATCTAAGACTTGGTTGAAAATAAAGGACATATACAGCCATGCTGAACTTTCTCAGAAATGAGCAATTGTAATTTCTCCAAAAGGATTTAATTTAATCTAAAATATCTACTAGTTGAGTAGCTGATAAAGAGATAGTCATTCACTTGAGATAGCATGAAACCAAGAGGAAAGGTAAAATACTGGCAACCCAATAATTTTCTCTACTCAGGTGATAAGGCTTTGAAGGCAAGAACAATCTGTATTCATTAATTAAGCTTAATTTTCTTTCTTTTCTTTTTCTTTTTTCTTTTTTTGAGTTAGAGTCTCACTCTGTTGCCCAGGCTGGAGTGCAGTGGCACACTCATGGCCACTGCAGCCTTGACTTGCTGGGCTCAGGAGATTCTTTCACCTCAGCCTTCCAAGTAGCTGGAACTACAGGCATGCGCCACCATGCCTGGCTAATTTTTTGATTTATTGTAGAGATGAGGTCTCACCAAGTTGCCCAGGCTGGTCTCAAACTTGTGACCTCAGGCAATCCCTTACCTCAGCCTCCCAAGGTGCTGGGATTATACGTGTGAGCCACTGAGCCCGGCTAAGTTTAATTTTCTTAATTAAAAAAAATATATATTTTTAAATTTTTTTATTTTTATTTTTATTTTTGAGATGGAGTCTCACTCTGTTGTCCAGGCTGAAATGCAGTGGCACGCTCACAGCCACCGCAGCCTCAGCCTGCTGGGCTCAGGAGATCCTTCTGCCTCAGTCTTTCAAGTAGCCGGAACTACTGGCATGAAGTTTATATATATATATTTATTGTAGAGACGAGGTCTTGCCCAGTTGCCCAGGCTGGTCTTGAAACCCTGTGCTTAGGCAATCCTCTCGCCACAGCTTCCCAAAGTGCTGGGATTACAGGTTTGAGTCACTGCACTCGGCCTTATTTTTTTTTTTTTTTTTTTGAATCGGGGTTTCACTCTGTTGCCAAGGCTGGAGCGCAGTGGCATGATCGCAGCTCATTGCACCCTTGATCTTCTGGGCTCAGGCATTCCTTATGCCTCAGCCTCCAGAGTAGCGGGGACTTCAGGTACATGCCATTTCTGGCAAATTTTTGTTATTTTTGTAAAGACAGGGTCTCACTATGTTGTGCAGGTTGGTCTCAAACTCCTGGGCTCAAGCATTCCTCCCACCTTGGGGTCCCGAAGTGCTGGGACAACAGGTGTGAGCCACTGCACCTGATCCCGTTCTTCATCTTGATAGAACAAAATGACTAATAATGTCATAGTAGTTCAGTAAATGTATTAATTTTAAAATGAAAAAACTCTGCTTTCAGTTTTGAAGGGAAAAAAAAAAACCAAGATGCTAAAGAGGAACCCATTTTTCCTATTCTTTTAGCTGCCATGAAGAATTTCCTCTAAATACTCCTGGCCTTTTCCCTGACTTTTCATTCTCCTCCCAATGTGGTTTTTAGACAATAGCCATTAGTCTACATTTCTCGACTGATGGGAATTTTGAATCTTTCTTCTTTCCACTTGCCTGGAACAGTGAAAGGCAAGGACCTGAGAAACGTGCCTGTCCGGCAGACTCTAGCCATCCCTGGGACTGGTTGTTCCAAGACCTAGACTGGGGAGTATCCTTATGAGTATCCTTAAGTGAGCCCATTGTGGGCTCTCACACTAAGCTACACTCTACAATCCAGTGCTTATCGGTAACAGAGATGACATTTAGATTTTTTACCTGCTTTATTCTTTCTTTCTTTCTTTTTAAGCTGGAGTCTTACTCCGTCGCCCAGGCTGGAGTGCAGTGGCACGCTCAGGGCCCCCAGCATCGACCTGCTGGGCTCAGGTGATCCTTCCGCCTCAGCCTTCCAAGTAGCCAGAACTACAGGCCCACACTACCAAGACCTGGCTAATTTTTTATTTATTGGATAGATGAGGTCTCACCAAGTTGCCCAGGGTTCTCGACCTGTGGGTTCAGGCAATCCTCTCACCTCAGTCTCCCAAAGTGCTGGGATTACAGGCTTGAGCCACTGCCCCAGCCCCTATTATTTCTTAATTGAGGTACACTTTGGGTGAGAAAGATAGGGACTAGCAAAGACCTCAGTAGAAGTATTTAAACTAAAACAAAGTCAGTTAGAATGGAGTGGAGGAAACGGAAAGATAAAAACAGATAAAATGTTTTTTGAATTTCATAAAATAGAATTTTTTAAAACGCCACAATGATCACAGGCAGGGAGGGAGAAAAAATGGGAGGTGAGGGAAGACAGTTCTGGAAAGAACTTGTAAATAACTTCAGCCATGATTTGATTTGCTCAAGGTCACATCTGTATAGTATTTGGCATCGTGCTGGTGCTCTTCACTGATGAGAAGTGACTCATCAGGATGACAGAGGTTCTGAGCTGGGCATCTGCCAACCACTGGGGCAAGATGGCTCAGAATGAACCCCCAAGATGTACAAACCCTGTGGACCCAGCAGAAGGGGCACTGCCATCTGGCCAATGTCTGAAATGGAAACTCACAAAAGGATGTTCCCTACAAATGAGAGCTTACTTTAAGGTCACTTCTTGGGAAAAACAGATTACAATTTTTCTATAAATGTTCAATCTGGAGCTGAATCTTTGCACAGGGAGAGGAAACGCCATTAAGGCAGTGTGGGGTATCTGTCTGACAATGACAATAGACACGTTGCTCATTACTATCTTCCTTGCAGATTAACTGAAATAAACATGAATTGAAATCATCAGTTCACTTAGACCACAGATGAGTGAAGGACACAATAAGGACTCTGTTTTCAAAAAAACAAAAACAAATAATTTCCCAAGTGTGTTTTGGACTCCTGGTCTCCTTTAGTCTAATATTCTTCATGTTAACTCATCTGAAGTCTGAAGCCGAAACTATATAAAAAGCGATGTCTTTAATAAGACTGAATTAAGAATTAGATTGCATATACTGTTCCCATTAAGAGAGGAAAATGCGTAAAACCTTTTAAATAAAGATTTCCTGCAAATGACAGCATTTTCTTCTTTATTATTATTATTTTTAGATACAGCATCTCTTTATGTTTTCCAGGCTGGTCTCAGATTCCTGGGCTCAAGTGATCCTCCTGCTTCAGTCTCCTGAGTAGTTGCGACTACAAGCACAGTCACCACACCCAGCTGATTTTTTTTTTTCTGAAGAGACAAGATCTCACTATATTGTCCAGGCTATGTTTTTTGTTGTTATCATTGTTGTTTTTCGATAACATGGATGAACTAGAGGATATATGCTAATCAAATAATCCAGACACAGAAAAATAAATACTGTATGAACTCATTTATATGTAGAATCTAAAATCGCTAAACTCATAGAAGCAAAGAGTAAAATAATTGTTGCCAAAGGCTAGAGGGAGGGAAAAATGGGGAGGTGTTGGTTAAAGGGTTATGTAAAACTAATATGTTTTGGAGAATGTACAGTGTGGTAACTATAGTTAATACTGTACTATATACTTGAAAGTTGCTAAGAGGATAGGTGTGTAAGTGTTCTCATCACACACACACAAAAGAAAAGAAAATGGTAACGATGTGAGGTGATGGATATGTTAATAAGTTTAATTGTGATGATCATTTCACAATGCATATGTATATCAAAACATAAAGTTATACACCTTAAACATCTCTTTTTTTTTTTTAAGAGACAGAGTCTCGCCCTTTCACCCAGGCTGAAGTACAGTGATGCAATCATAGCTCACTGCATCCTCAAATTCCTGGGCTCAAGCAATTCTCTTGCCTCAGTCGCCTGAGCAGCTGGAACTACAACCACCATGCTTGGCTAATGTTTAAAATTTGTTTAGAGACAGAGTCTCACTATGTTGCCCAGGCTGGTCTCAAACACCTAGCCTCAAGTGATATTCCCACTTCAGCCTCCTGAGTAATTGGGATTACAGGCGTGAGTCATTGTGTCTGACTAATACATGTGATTTTTATTTGCCAATTACACCTCAATAAAGCTGAGGAGGAAAAAAAAAGAGTTGCAATAAGAGTTAAAGCTGAACTGGGTCGGAGCAGGGACACTGTCTGATTCATTTCCACATCTGTACAAAGTCCTTTCCAGTACTATGCACCTAGCACATGTTCACTGAGCTGTTTGTTGAACAAATAAATGAACCCTCTGTTAACAAGATTAAGCTGTCCAAAAGCTTCACCTTTCCTGATTATCTTTTCTAAATATTTCTATGACTAGTACACTTCTTTTGCAAAAAAAAAAAAGATGTGGGCTGGACTCAATGGCTCAGCCTGTAATCCCAGCACTTTGGGAGGCCGAGGTGAGTGAATTGCCTGAGACTGCCAATTGGAGACCAACCCGGGCAACTTGGTGAGACCTTCTTTCTACAATAAATTAAAAAAAAAAAAAGGATTTGCCAGATGTGGTAGCGTGCACCTGTAGTCCCGGCTACTCGGAAGGCTGTGGCAGAAGGATCACCGGAGCCCAACAGGTCAACACTAGGATGGCCAGGAGTGTGCCACTACACTCCAGCCTGGGCAACAGAGTGAGACTCTCAACGCCCCCCCTCCCCCAAAAAAGATGTGAACTGTTTTCTCCAAGCCTACGGTATATGTCATTGAGGATTGCATTTAGAAAATCAAAACAGGAAGAAAAAACACCACCCACCCATTTCCTGGAATTACTATTTCTGTTCCACATGGTCAGAAAACACAGTGGTTACCTGAATCAATGCTTTTCAGTAATGCATAGAAGTTTGGGAAATATTGGAGTTCCTCAAAGTTGTCTTCACTGTAGGTTTTAGTTCTCCTTTCCAAGCCATTTGTCAAGGTTAAGGTGTTAGATACCGTTTCATCATTTTCTCCATTAGTAAAACCTTCTTGAATTGCTGCCATTGGAGTCTCCAGTGGGGGGAGGGGATCAATAAAAAATAAACACTTTGTTAGAACTAATGAAACTCCAGCTTGGCTCTTTCCACTGTGATGCCCTTGAATGTGAAGTGCAAGGATTCCACCTCTTCACAAGCCCGGCAGATTCAAGCCCACTTCTTAGGCATGTGCACTCTAGACATTGAGGCTTAGAGTACCTACCTCAAGGGAAAGCCCTACCTCAAGGGAAAGCCCCTAAAGACTCTGGCTCCTGCTCAGGGGAAGATAGGTAATTTCTAGTTTCTGCTTTGGCCATAAATTCTTATGAGTCTCTTCTCACCAAACTGCCTTTTTTTTTAAATTTTTTTTTGAGTTGGAGTCTCACTCTATCGCCCAGACTGGAGTGCAGTGGCATGCTCCTGGCCACTGCAGCCTCGCCCTACTGGGCTCCCGGCGGTCCTTTTCCAGCCTTCCAAGTAGCCAGAACTACAGGCGCGCACTACCACTCCCGGCTAATCTTTGATTTATTGTAGAGATGAGGTCTCGCCAAGTTGCCTAGGCGGGTCTCAAACCCACGGGCTCAGGCAATCCACTCGTCCCAAAATGCTGGGATTACAGGCTGAGCTACCGATCCCGGCCCAAACTGCCTTTCAACAAAGAAGGGAACTTTGAGTTCACAAAACCATCCAAGAGGGATGGTGCCAGTATACAGAAAGCCTATTCCAATGTCTAACACTAGCAGAGCAGTTATACTTGGGAATTTCTTTGACATTTTAAGGGCTGTCTGGATGGATATACAAGATTCTTTCTCCCAGACCTGATCTTTGTTCAGGGTTTCCCATCTTAGCAAATGGTCCATTCTTCCTTCAGTGAACTAGATACAGTCTACAAGCCTTTCTTGCCTTTTCTTTTCCCTTTCCCCCCGTCCAATCCATCAGTAGCCTTGTTGGCTACTTTCAAAATTTATCCCACATGTGTACATTTCTCTCTCTACAATCTCACTCTTGTCTAAGCAGCCTTCATCTCTCACCTTCTAACTAGTACACCACCCACCTTAACTCTATTCCTAACACTGCATGTCTTCAACATGGTAGCCAGAGTTATCTTTTTAACAATCCAATCATGTAACCCCTTTGCTTAAAATCCTTCCATGTTTTCCCATGGCCCTCACAATAAGGATCAGATTCATCTATGACTCATACGGCCCCCGCATGTCCTGGCCCGGGGCCACATCCCCAGTCTCTTCTCTCTTTGCTCTTTCTGTGCCAGCCACACTGTTCTTGTCTCAGTTGCTTGGATACTCCACACATCCTTCTCTACATGCTGCCTCTTGTGTTCATGAGTTAACTCCTATCTGACCTTCAATTCAGAGATCAAGTGACTCCTCAGGGAAGCGTTCCCCAAGCCTAAGTCTAGGACAGGCTCCTGTTTTATGAGTTCTTATGGTACCATGTTTCTTTCTGCAGAGCACTTAGTGCAATTGTAATTAAAATTCAGGACTATTTAAAGACCATCTACCTCTTCCACTATATCTTAACCTTCATGGGAGTAGTGATTATACTTTTTTAAATGAGCATGGCATTCCCAGTGCTTGGCACACACTTGGTATTCAATAAATGTTTGTTGAAAGAACGTTTCATTTGTATTGATGTGCACAGGTCATGCAGGTGGACATTTTAGAGATGGGTGAATAGGAGTATGCAATGGGAGTGAAGGATTATGAAAATAGCTATGTCAGTTTTAGCTCAGAATAGTAAGCTTCAGTGAAAGTCATGAGTTCTTTGATAAATCTAGAAAGTTTTTTTTCAGAGTGGGAGAATGTTCAAAAGCTGTTTAGAAAGATGGCAAGTGGTAGGGACCGGAAGTAAGAAGAGCAAAGAAGAGTTTTTAGGCCATCGAGTAAAAAATTCCAGACCCAATTTTTATTTTCTATCCTCTCTAAAGCAGAACCATAATCCTCTAGACTATATTTGAAATAGGATGTTGGAGGACATGAGGAGCCAGGGCTCTGGGTACTCTGATGAAGAAAATCAAAGGAACAGTGAAGAGTTTGATATCCTCCTATGGCCAGCTTCATCTAGAGTTTTAAGGAGAATTCAAGGTGGGGAGAAAGATCTCAGTAGTTTGGTTGATGTCAAGGCAAAGATGAAGAGACCAAGAGTCCAGCAAGAGGGAGGAAGGATGGAAAGACTAGTCTGGCTAAAGGGTGACAGACAGACTTCTACACCAATGAAAGGGAACAGAGCAGGTGGAAGAGCACAGCCTAGAACACAGAGACAGCATCAGGCAGCTGGCTCTAGGGATTATCAAAACTGGTGTGGAAGAGGATCAAATCAACTCACTTCTCTTTTGAGGGTTGGGGACAGATATGACCTCCACTGTGAACAGATGTTGGATACCAAAAATAGCTGTGAGATATTTGGTTCCAATATACTGGGACTGTACAAATAGCTATTGTTATGTGATACTGTTATTTCATATAATATTATATGTTATTTTACTGTGTGGTATAAGATGTACCTTACTGTATAATAGAATATAACATGTAATCTTTAAGTTATTTTCAAAGTAGAGCTCATTTACATCTTTTTAACTTATCAGCATTTTATGAATATATATTTTAAATGGACTAAAAAATGCCACATACCCCAAATACACACACATATATAACATATACATACCACTTTCTCTGTTATTTTTCCAGCCTGCTTCTCAGTCCTGCTTGTGGGTTGATTGGGATTCTCCTCATAATTGTTGGCTTCCTTTGAGATTAATTTTTGTAAAACCTCGGCTACCTCATCTTCCAGTGTGTGTGCCTGGCTTTCTGTGATCTGTTATAAAGAGGCAAAACATACATAATTGCTATTCCCAGTCTAGTGTTTTTAAAAATTGGGCTAAACTCTGTAGTTGAACATGTAATTTTAAAAGAGGAATCTTCTGAACCCTCTTTTAGTCAGCCCTCGCTATATTCCTCCACTATATGCTGGCTATTAGAGTGACCACCTAGCACTCCAGGAAGAAGTGGGTTTGGGCCCATCATACAAGTTGACAGGCCTGTCTGTCAACCCTAAAGACCACTTATTTTGATAAACACCCTGAGAGTTGCTCCCCTGCTGCTTCAGGTCATACTCAGGTAACCTCTGAAATCCTGTAACATGAGCATCTTAATGAAGCCTATGAAGGCTGTGTCAGAGCTGAGGACCAAGCTGAGGTGAATGCAAACTGGATCACTTGGAGTTTCTCAAACACATATTGCACACCTTTCCTCGTTATTATCTCCTTTTATTACTTTAAAAAAAAAAAAAACCTCTGCTGGTTATTTCCTAACTGTCCTCCTAAGCTCATGTCAAATTCTTCTTCTTCTCTGGAGCCCTCATTCCTGCAGTTGGATCTAAGCTGTTCTCTAGCTCACTGAACTGCTCTTATGGCATGTAAGCAGCTTCCACTATGGGCGTGAAAGGAAAATAATAGTTCGTTGTCCTCAAAACCTGTGGGGCTTAGTACAAAGTAGATGCATTAGAAACACTTGGCTACTTGCATCAAGTGGCTTGGTTTCTTGGAATACTCCGAACTGTACTAAGAATTTAGTACAGTTACTCTCACACATAAGACTTACGAGGCCAAGATTCAGCAGTTTAGAAACAATCTTGTCAAACACTCCTCTGTCATTTTCCTCATAAATCCTGGTAGCAATTTTGTGGACAATGTCTTCAGCAGTTAAAGGAGTTCCATCTAGTTGATGAAGGCCATCAGGATCATCTAGACAGAGCAATCACAATTTCACACAAAGGCGATCATAGACCTAGTTCATGCATCATATTATGTTTATAATCTGTACTTTGCTTCTGCCTCAGATATAATTGAGAGACATTTATGGTTGTGGTTGGTCCACATAAACTCTTGGTTTGAGATAACATTGATCTTCAAGTTAAAAACCTAGGATGAGCTGGGTGTGGTGGCTCATGCCTGTAATCCCAGCGCTTGGGAGGTGGAGGCGAGAGGATTGTCTGAGTCCATGGGTTCAAGACCAGCCTGGGAAACATAACGAGACCTCGTCTCTACAATAAATAAATAAATTAACCGGGCATGGTGGTGCATGCCTGTAGTTTCAGCTATTTGGAAGGCTGAAGTGGAAGGATCACCTGAGCCCAGCAGGTCAAGGCTGCGGTGGCTGTGAGCAGCGTGCCACTGCACTCCAGCCTGGGCAACAGAGTGAGATTCTGAACCCCACCCCCCAAAAAAAAGAAACCTAGGATGAAAATGGAAATTCCAAAAGCTTCTTATGTAACTATAAGAGGAAAGAAGAGCTGAAGACAACACAAAAGACCTTTCCATTTATTATTATCTCCAATAACACAAATCATATTATACTTTTTATTTACCTAGTATGCCACGTTTATATAGTATGTCATATTAGTCAAAACATCCTTCTATATTTTGTATAATTTGATATTCTATTTCCATAAAGGGAGTAGATTGCTTGGTAATTTTATCCCCACATGTATTCCCTTTGCAGGTCATTTCCTGGACCAGGGGTGGGAAAACCAACTTCACACTCAGATTCAGAGAGTGCATTCTGAAGACTTTATGACTTACCTGTAAATATTATTTCCTTTTAATTGAACATGTGTCAGAGCACTTTTATGTAAGGCAGCTTAATGTGATGAGCTGCATTTTCCAGACAATAGGTAGCTTATTGTATTGTATGTGACTGGAATTCAAACTTTCAAAAGGTGGCAACAGATTTGCACAAAGCAAAATGTAAATCTTTGCAGAGAAGCACGTAAATATGTATCCTTGGCATTCCTAGGAATACATTTGGCAATACTACTTAAGACTAAAGCAAAGGCCCATCCTGAGGGAAAGGGTTAGTGGCCATGAAGCATTGTACCACATCTACGGAGAACTTCCAGGAATCAATTAGTCATCTCCAATCTATACCACACTGAGTGGATCAAGTTTATGAGGCACTTAACTCTCCCTGTTACTCTAGGCAGATTGGAAAGATCAGAATTTTACCTGCAGTAATATTTCTTGTTATTTATATATCATTGGGCCACTGTAAAGGAGAATAATAAGGGTATCTGTCTCATGGGACTGTTGAGGATCAGACGAAATAAGATGTAAAAGCACCTTTTAGATGGCAAAATACCATATGAAAACTTATATGTTGTTCTTATGTACAGTGGATTTGTATTTTGAAATAAAGGAACTGCAATTATCTTCTAGAGAAAATGGACATTGAATCCCTCGCCAGATTTTGTCCAAGTAATTTTCATTATATTTACTCAAGGAAAAAATAAACTTTCTTTTTCTGAGACAGGGTTTTGCATCGTCACCCAGGCTGGAGTACAGCATCTTAATGAAACCTGCGAAGCTGTGTCAGGGCCAAGGACCAAGCTGAGGTGAATGCAAACTGGATCACTTGGAGTTTCTCAAACACATATTGCACACCTTTCCTCATTGTTATCTCTTTTTATTACATTTTTGTTTTAACCTCTGCTGGTTATTTCCTAACCATCCTCCTAAGCTCATATCAAACAACTCTTCCTCTGAAGCCTTCCTTTCTGCAGTTGGATCTAGGCTGTTCTCTAGCTCACTGAACTGCTTTTTTTTGTGTGTGTGTGTTGGACTCTCATTCTGTCACCCAGGCTGGAGAGCAGTGGAACAATCCTGGCCACTGCAGCCTCGACCTGCTATGCTCAGGCAATCCTTCTGCCTCAGCCTTCCAAGTAGGTGGAACTACAGGCACATGCCACTGTGCCTGGCTAATTTTTTATTTTTATTGTAGAGATGAGGTCCAGACTGGTCTTGAACCCACGGGCTCAAGCAATCTGCTCACCTCATCCTCCCAAAGTGCTGGGATTATATGGGTGAGCCACTGCTCCTGGCCCCTGTATTGCTCTTATGGCGCCTAAGCAGCTTCCACTATGGGCGTGAAAGGAAAAGAATAGTGCCGTTGTTGTCCTCAAAACCTACGGGGCTTAGTACAAAGTAGATGCACAATCACAGCTCACTGTAGCCTCGAACTCACTCTTGGGCCCAGAGAATCCTCACCCTCCTGAGTGGTTGGGACTACAGGTGCACGCCATTACACATGACTAACTTTTTGATTTTTTTGTAGAGATGAGGTCTTGCTATGTTGCCTAGGCTGGTCTCAAACTCCTGGTCTCAAGCAATCCTCCTGCCTCAGACTCCTAGAGTGCTGAGATTACAGTCATGAGTCATGACCCCTGGCCCTAGTATTTCTGTTCTGATTCTGCCCTATTCTTCCATGGCTTTTGAGGATTCAGACAGGGAATTTCTCCCATGTTTTTTCTTCCAAGCTCTATGGGAATGAACTATATGCAGCCTCAGGCAAAATATCTTCTTCTTGTTTGGAAAGAAGCTTAGGAAAATGAGTGGGGTGATTATACACAGAGGAAAGTTCTCTGTTAGGATATAACTGCTGAGCTGTCAGTCAGCCCATGAGCTGTGAGCCCTTTGAGTCCCAGAAAAGCCCCTAAGAAAAACAAACATGAAATCAGTTCCCCTCTTGGAAAGTTGAAAATTGGATTTATCATCTATTTCTCAGGAGCAGAGACTCATTACTATTCGGGTCTGATTTTTCCATTTGTGGGTTGCAAGTCAGGCTCTCGGGAATATGTAGAGCAGAAACTACCCCCATCTATGCAGAGGTGCAGGGATTTATTTCCCTTCCCACTTATCCCTCAGGATCTGAAAAAGGAAGAATATTGGTTGCCTGCTAGCACTGGAAAATAACTGAGATGACTGCTTTTCAGCTAATTTGCTTCACAACAGGGAGGCTGTTAGTAATTCACTGAAGTAACCTCTTTCCTCTGCTGCCCTGCTGTATTCTCTTGGGCCAGAAACTTAGGTTACCCCTAGCAAAACTGCTGGATGGGGTTAATAGTGGAATCCTAGACCCTTGCCTCTTACCTTCCACTGACTTCCCTTTGCTCTTCTAAAATGAACAGTATTCTCAGAATCACTTACCTATGGCTCATGAAGAGGAATTTCACCCTCCTTTTATAGACTCCCAGAGAGAAGCCAGACATGGATTCATCAACATTTATCACTTTTGATAAGCAGCCACAGCATTCTGAATGGATGTCAAAGGGCCACATCCCTACTCATCAATTGCCCAGTTATGTTTTGAATCCCTAGCATCTAATATGGTACTTGGCATACATTAGTATTAATATGTGCCAGACACTGGAATAGAGTGATGAAAAAGTTAGGCATGGTCTCTGACTGCATAGAGCTTATTCTCTAGTTCATGTTCTAATTATACAGTAATTGCTCAATAAACATTTGTCAGGTGAAAGGACGTGACATGGAATCAATATACTCAATGCACAGCCATTTTATTTTATTTTATTTTATTTTTTGAGTTGGAGTCTCACTCTGTCGCCCAGACTAGAGTGCAGTGGCCGCTCCTGGCCACTGCAGCCTCGACCTGCTGGGCTCCAGCGATCCTTCCGCCTCAGCCTTCCAAGTAGCTGGAACTACAGGCGTGCACTACCATGCCTGGCTAATTTTTGATTTC